AGGTGAGGAAAGTACCCAGTGTATGCGTATTTAATCTGTAGTACGAGTGACGTAGACAGTTCAGGTTCTAGCTTGACAATCTAAACAGTTCGGTACGTCAAATTAAGTGCAGAAGAAGTGCTGTTGTTCCGTTGGAGAACTTGTGAACTTATACTAAAAACAAAGAAAAATAAATGCTAAAAATTACTTCAAACTATTTTAATGAACATTTTGTGTGAACGCAACGGTGCATATGCCAAGAACAATGTTATGCCAAGCAAAAATGCGGAAAAACTGTTTCAATTGATATGATAGCACCTATTTTCCATTGAAATACTACTACTTTTAAATGACTAGTATAAAGTGTTGATAAGTGTAAATATCACAATATATTTTATATACATTAAACAGAGTTTATTACTCTTTTAATTTCAAAACACTAAAAAGACATAAAACAAAGGTTGTCCCAAAATTAACACAAGATTTGAAGTTGTCATTATGCACGCAGTATAAAAAACATCTACAGCTAAATATCAAGAGTTAAGTTTTAAAATAAACAAATTTCTTCTATTAAAATAAGATAATAATTAAATTCATTCCTTCCCATCAAAAGATATTGACAAGCAAATATCATTGATGGAATTTTCAATGCTCTTAAAAATATGCAACATAAAAAGTACTGGGAGAATTATGAAAAGCTAAAATGTATGTGTCAAAATAACAAATACATTGTGTTTATAATAAGCCCCTGTTGGAACACATCTTAGTTACCGCAACAACTGATAACTTCATTATATCATATTTAAGCCATGTACGAGTAAAGTAAATTAAAACTTGCAATGGATTTTTTGCACTGCATTTATGTATATATTTATTTATTTATTTATTGCACTTATTTATTATTTTTGGTTAAAAGTTTCCAAATTTATTTATTTATATATTAAATATCTTGTAAAATTTTCACAATGTTAATACTTAACTTACCCAATTTCTATTTATTTTACCCTACTCAAAATTCAGGTATATACCAACATTCACTGCCATACCGACATAATGTACTATTACCCTCAAATTACCATCAATTCACTTGAACTCGCACACGGCCTTAGTTTAACTGCAATTAAAACTACTTACTAATGAAATTAAAACTTCGTTGTTTCCATTGACATGCGCTTAAACATGTGAAAAATTGTTTACATTTTACATATAAAACATATGACAAATATTTCAAATTTTAATAATTTCCAGTGAATTTAAATGAATTTATGTATAACATGTCTTTTGTTTTGGGCCAGTAAAAACGTTATACTATGGTTCCACTTTTCTCGTTTAAGTAGTTTTGCTCATTAGGACTACAAAAAAGGATAGTTTACTAAAGAGTTTTCATAAAAATGAGCTCATTTTAAGTAAATCAAAGCGAAAAATATCAAATCCAACCCTTAAAAATAAATTTCCACCAAGGGAAATCACCAAAATTTGAAATTTGTGTCATATGTTTTATATATAAAATGCAAACAAACAGCAGCTGGACTGTAAACAAAAGCACTGAGGAAGTAAGTATATAATAAAATCTTTGTTTTTATTAATTGAATATGTAATTGATATATAAAATGTATATAAATTATTTAATGTATTAATTATATATAAATAATATTTTTGTGTGATATGTTATTAAATGAAATACAAAAGATAATACAAAAAGTACGCATGGCACTACTAAATTAGTTAGAATGTATTTTATACAATAATTTGACATTTTTGTCACTATTTCATATCGCCCTCTACCGCCGGTTTAATTTCACAAAGCGATTGTATTAGCAGAGTTGCATTTTGTCATTGTTACGCTGGTTGAACCAGTCTGGTTCTTGCTGTTGAATTGCGCAGCGTAGTAAATTTCGCATTGCTTTGCATGACAAGTTTAGATTGGATGAAAGTGATTCTAACGAGAATATTGGACTGTGTCTTCTAGATTTGAAACAGCTGGCATGCCACTCTTTATTAAATTAAAATTCGGACATGCGTAGGTTTTTGGGCAGAAGTATTACATTTTTAAAAGAACGATATTTAACATAATAATAAATATATTGTGTTAGTTTCATAAGCTACGTGGAGTAAATTCATGTAACTATGAGTATATACAAATGCGTTTCTCCAGTAAATTTTTAGATAAAAAATAGCGACTGAGAGAGCATAAAGGAACAGTTAAAGTTAAAATTTTTTTTAAACAAATGTTTCTGAGTCTTATAAGAACACAATGAGTGTCATTATTTCTTAATGTGAAACAAATTTAAATAATACAATTACAAAATACAACTTTGTTGCAAAGTTCTTATTGATACAATTGTAGTTGTAAATCAACGCCTGACAGGAAAAAAACTACATTGTCATTTCTATACCAGCTTTTCGTCTGCAAGAAAGGTTTAACTTTTTAAAAAAGTGCGTATTCTGGAGAACAAAAATGCCTAAGAAAAAGAAGTTTTCAAGACGCTTCGAAATGGGTGACCGGCAAGAATATTGAAGGCAGAAAAAAATAAATTCCAAGTTCATTTCTATGGGACAGGCGAAACAGGAACTATCAAACTAGAAAAAATTTTCAAATATAAAGAGAATAAAACCAAATTCTCTACAGAAAAAACATTAAAGCTTCCTTACTTTCGCAGAGCAATTATGGAAATTGAAGCGGCTTTAGAGGTCGGAGACTCTGGCCCAATGAATTTGCTAAGTGCAGCCATTCCCGATGCGTCAGATGGTTCTAATGTTCATCACATCGATGATATATTGGTGGGTGAGGATACACTTCATAATTTACTAATGAAGGCGAACGAAGTAATGCGAGCAAGAAAACTTTTAGTAGAGGTTCCTGATACACAATGCGAAAGCGAAGTCAGCAAGTAATTTATATAAAAATATTCAATTTACATTTATTTCTTAAATTTCGTCTAAATTCATAAATTTGATTTTGGATAAAACATCAGCTGATCCATAGTGTTGTGAAATGTAGCTTGCACAAGATTTAAGTTCAAAACTAAAGTGTTTAACTAAAAAAAAATCAAGATATATAACTAAAAATAAATAATTGTGTAATAGAGTAAGTTTCATTTAAATTTATCAAAACTTTTGTTAATTTTGGCTTCCATTTGAAACATAATATACGAAATCAGCTGCTACAAAAGTCCAATTTATGGACTTGACGAAAATGTGTACCTTGACGTTTATAACGTCGCGACGTTACGGAACACGCAATTACCAAATTAACGATCTACATAATATAATATAATACGTTCTAATTATATTATATAAAATATATATTACATATAAAATATAATATATTAATTATGTTGTATAAAACAAATACTTTTTTTTTGTTTTTACTTTTAGTAACTAATTTTTATAATTTTAATAATTAATATTTTTTCAATAAATTTTATTTTAACTTTAAACCGGGTTAAAAAAAATTATAAATAAATTCATAAAAGAGCTTTAATTAAGTTAATTGTATCATTTTACTAAGTGTTGTCTTAATTTCAATATCGAATATATTATTGGTTGAATTCGATATAAATATATTTGTACATATATATCTGGTTAAAATATCTTTTCCAGAATTACTTTATCTCATCCATGTGCAGTGGACGGCGTACAAAACACATTATCATCATTGTCCTTGTTTAAACTTTATTTTTATTTTTTAATTTACAAAAAATTTACAGGCTAGAGGAAAGCCTGTAGTCAATGTATAAATTGCATTCTGAGTTTATTATAAAATACAAAAAGAAGCTTCTTGCAACCGAAAGACAATTTAATTATGGTGTATTGGTTGTAAAATCGTTAATACGTAAGGAAAACAGGACAGCAATTAAGCAAATAAAATTTAAAATATTTTTTAAATATTTTAATGTATTAATACTTATATTAAAAATATATCTACTCAAACATATTTTAGTAATTTGCATTAAAATTAGTTAAATGTATGTGTAGTTGACTTAATACTATGTTTACACTCTAGATAAATGTGTAGCAATAAGTAATATTTGCCATACAAAATCCATATAAGAATATGCGATATAAAGACAAATTTATTAGGAGTGTCAATTGTTCATCAATAGTTTATAAGTGCGGCTAGAGAGCCACATGTAGTGTTGTACTACAAATTATACCATGCAGAATACTATGATTCCTTCTGTACTTCTAATAATAGCGTTTTCGATTGGTATATCTGGATTTATTCTAGATTTACTCTGAGATATAAACAAAATATAATTGTCGTAGGACTTTTACAGAATTTTCTGACAGAAAAGCAACTTCGCATGCATAAATCAACTTATGGTAATGGAAACGACCCAATCATAATATTCTATTCAGCTTATTCTTTGGTAAGAATAAATAGAACAACATAAAATAAGCATTACTTTCAATTGGAACACTGTTTTGATACCTGACAGGTTTATATGTATATGCAAATATATAAATAAACATATTTGCAAAACATGTACATTTAAAGTTAAAGTTTTGAAAATGAATAACAATTTTTTAACACTAAAATAATAAGTAGAAAAAATAACAACTACGAATTATGAATAATTAAGAAAAACATATGTTGACAGTTAACTGGAAATTTTGTACGATTTCTAATAAATTGATGTAAAGTAAATTGAAATTTCCTAGGAATTTTTTGCACTGCACTTATGTAAATACTTATTTATTGAAGTTATATATTGTTTTTGGTTAAAAGTTTTTAAATTTATTTATTTATCTATTAAATATCTTATAAAATTTATACAATGGTAACACCTAATTTACCTAATTTTTATCTAATTCACCAGACTCGAAATTCTGGTATATACCAACATTCGCTGCCATGCCGACATAATTTACTATGTCCCTCAATTTACCATCAATTTACTCGAACTCGCACACGTCCTATATATCAAATCTTTAAAGTTTAAATTGTCAACTTGACATTTTTACATGAGATACGTTGTTATTGAAAAAAAAGTCGTTTAACAACACTGTTTAAGTTGAATTTTATTAAAAAGAACTTGAATACACTGTATTGTAAAAAATTCATTAAAAAATTATTCCAGTAAGGTTCTGTTGCTTCCGATTAGAACATAAGACTTGGTTGTGTTTTGGACTGTCTCCATAAGTAATTTAAAAAGTCAGGATGGAGAATTCAAAGAAGAAAATCGATGTAACTGATTTAAATAAGGAGATGTGGCTAATTAAAGTTCCACGGTCGGTTGCGCAGCAATGGGAAAAGGTTCCAAGTGGAACGGAAGTCATGACTATGAAAGTTACTAAAACAGATAATGGAAAACAAGAAAATGCATTTTATTTAAATCCTGATTTATTGGATGGTGTACTTGGTGGTGGAAGTGAATATAAATTACATCCCACAGAGCTCGTTGACAAAAAGATTGCAATTCTTTCCGAAACAGGAAAAGATATAAAAAAGAGATGTAATGGATTTCGTGGTGAAAAACTTGTTATGAAAGGACACGCCAATACCAAACTTATATGTAAGCCAGTATTTGATGAAACCTATATTAAGTGTAAGAAAAAGGATATTATAACCGCATACTTGCCAAAGCAAACAACGCAAGTGATTGAAGTCCCAGTTCCACCTCCTGTATATCAAGTAAGTAGCACATTATAATATTATGAGCACACATGATTATGTCATTTGCGTTATAATTATCATAGAAACCAAACCGTAAACTTGACCGTAATAGAAAATACCGTGCGGATAAGTATGATGTTATGGAGACAATATTTGAAGCATTTGAGAAACAGCAATTTTATTCCTTAAAGGATTTGGCGAAGATAACAGCTCAACCTGTCATTTATTTAAAGGAATTACTCAATGAAGTTTGTGATTATAATTTGAATCATCCAAACAAAAACTTATGGGAATTAAAAAAGGAGTATCGGCACTATACAGAGATTGAGGAGCTCTCTGAACACGATTCAGATTAATAATATTTCTACTGAATATAGGAAGTGGTCATATCGTTGTCCATTTCAATAATTTTCTAACATAGTTCAAAAATTAGAAACTGAATTCAAATTATATTAACCTAATTACCTGTGTCTACAGCTTGTTGGACTTTGAATGTCTGCTTTTATATTTGGACTATTGAAAGGGGGGATTTGTTGATCTTAAGTAGATTAAAGATTTTATTGCTCAATTTTCAGACATGAATCATAACAATAAATATATATATTATATTATATATATATTTAGTATTTATTAAACATATATTAAAATACTTAACAATTAACTTTTTATTTACCAAAATTAAATAAATAAAATAAATGACTATAATAAATATTATAAATAATGTGCAAATTGCTTTTTAAAAAAATATTTTTAAATAAATTAAATTAATTAAACTTTATGTTAAGTAAGAATACTAAATATTTTGCATGATAACTACTTTTTCGTTTTTATATAAAAATCTAAAGTATTTTATGTTTCAGTGAAGAATCTAAGTTCCCTCTCAAGCACTACGATGAAAGCTTATTCAAATAGTACTTTTGGAAATTTCCTTGGAAAGGCGGTCAAACATCATATAGAAGACGTAAATATTACTAGGATAAATAAGAGGGTTATCCTAACGCCAAGCTTGGGGAATATATTATTTGCAAAAAACTGATAAAAACGTGTTAACCCCAAAATAAGACATGTAGGCGGAAGAATAAACAATGATCAGTGAAGAAAAAGTCAAGATATAAACCTAGATGTAAAACTTGCAAGAAGCGGAAGAAACGCCTTTAAATCTGTTACTTATATATATATTATAATAATACTGCGCAAACTGGAAAATCACCAGTAAGTAAGACTGTAAACTATTTAAATTAAAATCTCAACTATTGTTAGTTTATTTTATGTGTGGAGTTGGTAACGTTTCTGAGCACATTTACCAATCTGTATAAGCCACCAAAGTATCCTGACAAATATTACCGACACACTTGCTAATGTGATGTAAGTACGCTTTATATATTATTATAATATAATAAAATCAATAATGTGCATTTAATGTTTAATTTAATAATAGCTTACAGTATGAAAAGCCCGTGATATAAATCATTGTGCATCTTGGATCTTATCATTGATTTTCATCTGAGTAAAATTATACCAACTTATTTTTTTTTATTGTTTAACTAGCTCTATTCTATATAAGCTCGTAAACTTAAAATCTCTAAATTAATATATTGATTCAGGTAATCATATAGCATTGTATCTGAAAGCTGTTTTTTGTGTTAATATGGAGAATATAACATGTTATTCTATAGGTGGTTAAATTTCGCCACCGTTCTTTTGCTCTTCTTGTCATGTGATTGTTCAGAAGTTTATGTATCTGTTTTAGAGGTCTGGGTACTTCGCTTGTTTAGACCTCTGAAAATCTTGCGCCAGTTTCAGCAATAGTATCAACTGTCTCTTTTCCCTCTATGCCTTTATGACCAGGCATCCAGTACATATAAAGACTGTGGTTGCAGGCAAGTCTGGCTATAGCTACCTTATATGTATTTTAGAACATTTTTGGATGCATCTAGTCTCTTTTTCATTAAAAATCTCTCATGTGGTTCTTGCGATACGACAATATTTCATTTATTTACATATTGTACAGAGACAAGACACAGACATCCATGCTTCTTTTTCTTATTGCAATTTGACAAAGTTAGCAATTTTCATCTAAATAAAAATTACTATATAAATATTTACATAAAAATTACTGCATAGTAACATCTTCGGTCATCTCATTGAGGTATTTACATAACAAAATTAATTTCACAAAATTAAAATTACTATTTCATACAAAATATTTGCTATTTAATTTCGTTATACAGATTGCTTATGATGATTTAGGATGCTTTCAAGGATAATGCGAACACAATTATCCAGAATTTACGGTTTTTAATTTAAATAATCTTTTCAATTCAATATTAACTGCACTAGGATTTTGTGTATATATATTATTAAAAAAAAAATACTTTAAGTTTCACATACTTCGAAGCTTAACTTATGTCGTCCTTAACAGAAAATATCACTAATATATTTTTTAATATCACTGATATATATCTTATTTTTTAATTAATAATATAGATAAATGCATTTAATTAATTTTTATTATGCAAATTTTTTTTTTCAAAATTAAAAAGGAAATAAATTTGTTTGGCAACGCATCGCTGTCGTTGACATTTCGACTCAAATTCAATCAATCAATCAAAATTAGGCGCTGCTAGGACTCGTTTGCATTTATCATTTTTCTTATGCGAAAAATCTGTTCTCCTCTTGCAGGAACATCGATGAAAATATTGCATTTGATAACTGAAACCTCATGGAGGAATCATACTCGCTGTTCGTTTGTAAAAGACCGCACTGCTCCAATAAAACGGCAATAAAAATCCGAAAATCAGTCAAAGGGAAAGCGGGCTCGTAGCACTCGTGACGTTATTAAGTGCCATTTAAATCGGTCATAAATTTGATGAACGAGTGCGATGAGAGAACATTTTTCATTGAATTCGGAAGTAAATTGGCCTGAAATGCATGGAGTACGTAAAAAGATACAACAGTTGATGACAATAATTTTACAAGTTCATGGAAATTCATAAACATGTTGCTTATGCGTTTAGATTAAAATCCATAAAGCCTATAATTTATTGATCAAACGAGAAAAGAAAATAAAAGAAAAAATCTATCTGAAAAATAATTTTAAATTTAATTTATTAAGTCAATTTACGATAATCTTAAGAGATGATATTGAAATTTTGAATTATTTATTATTGGCTTTTTTTTAAAATTAAAGTATTTATTTTATTAATTTTAAAAATTGTTAAAATAATGATTGCACAAAATTTATTTGTTGAGTTTAGTGTGATGAAAATGTATTTTAAATACATATAATAAATTATATAAATTTATTTTATTGCTAAATAAAAACACAAAACTATATTTAATTCATTTTTTTTATGTATAATTAGCCAATTAAATATTATATATGAAAAATAATAATTAAGAGATGAAAATGGAAAAATCATTTCATATAAAATGAGTAAATTGATTAATTAGATATATAATCCACCTCATAAATACTTTAAATTATTTCATCGAATTGATTATTGATTACTATACCTAAAAATACTAAACTATTTAAAAGATTTCTGTTTTTAGTATTTACACTTTCAATATTTATTCATATAAAAAATAATTATTTTATTCTAAATAGTTCGGATATCGAATTCAAAAAATTATTATGAATAGTTATAGTTTTTAATATTTTAATTTTAATTCATAAAGAGGTTTTTTCGAACAGTAGTGAACTATAACAACAAAAATTTTATATTATTTTTTTTTTATATCATTTTAATTAATTGAATTTTTAGCTGACCATTTAGTTTATTAAATTAATTAATTTATTAATTTCAATTTAATTAATTCAATTTTTTTTGAAGGTAGTTAAATATATTTTCCAACTCCATAATCTAATCAAGTAAATAATGATGAATAATTAAAGTCAGGTAAAATATAATAGTTTAACTCAGAATTTGATAAAAAGTATGTATTAAAAGTAAGTATAGTCAATGTATTAAAATATAGACAATAGTATAGACAATAGTCAAAATTCCAACTATATATAAAAATATAAATAACTTACTACATTTCCTAATAATCGAAGTTATTAAAACCAAGTTCACGATTCTTATTAGCTTATTGTACCCGTGCGTATAAAGTATATTAAGTAGCTCGAGGAGTTTGCTCGAGGGGACCATAACAGAGTATATATAATATTATTCATAAGCTCATTATTTATCAATCTGTTTCAAAGTAAATGAATCTCATAATTTTTAAGATGAATGAATGTCATAGGTACATCAGAATGACAAATAATGGATGACAATAATTTATGACAAATATAGGTAGACATGAAATCTCAATCCACATTACTGGACACTGCCAAATAGGCCGACACGTCTCAAAAATGGATATTACTTTGTTTGACATCTACAGGATTCATATATATATATATAAATTTATATAATATATTTAATAAAAAAATAAATAATTGAAATAAAAAAAAAAAATTTAAAAAAAATTTATTTTATTTATATGTAAATATAAAAAATAAATATAAAATATATTATACATATTATATTATATTCAGTCAAGGCGCAAAGAGGGGTTTTGTGCTCAAGTACACTGACTCAACTAGCTTCAACATAATAATAGTATTTATATTATCTTCCGAGTATTTTTTTTGCTAAAGCCAATTTCACAGATTTTTCACAGCAATAAAATAGTTTAATAAGAGTTGAATTTTAGGAGATCGTGTCAGGATCGTTTGGTATCATTCATAATGAACCAATTTGGTCTAAGTGTATAGCCTACCTAACTATGTAGTCTATATTCACTTTAACCTAACCTACATACAAAGGAGAAAATAGTTAATTTGTTATAGTATATGTTAATAAGATAATAAATGACTTTTGTAGTACGAAAATAAATTTTAATTTTTATAATAATTTCTGAACCATGTTAATAGTTTCAACAATAAAACATTTTTTATATATAACACGATTTTTTGATTGAACTTTGTATTGCTATTTATAAGTATGTGTCTCGAATAGTTCTGAACATATACCATTTTATGATATGCTTTTTTTAGTTTTTATTATTAACTAATCAATATTTTACAATTTGCACCTAAAAGAAGAGTCGTTTACGTTTAAAAAATGTTCAAGTCATAAAAAGTTATTACCACATTAAAGTTCAATGTTAGTTTAAACTACAACATAAAAAACATATACTGTTAACATTTGTCGTAAATAACTAACTTTATTTCTAAGAAATATCAAAGAAAATATAAGTAATTAAGATCGTTTTTAAGCTATAAAATAACTCAAGCTGTAGGGTCAAAGCTACTATTGAAAAAATCATAAAACTGCTAAATGAATAAAAATGTAAAAAATGTTAGGAAAATCTTATATTTTTACTTAGAAATACACATCACTCACTTTATATACATGGAGTTAAAAATGAAGTGCAAATGCTACCTTATAAACTTATAAAAAATATTTTAAATTTAACAAAAACTTTTAAAGGGAAATACATTAAATAATCATGTCCTATTTTTTTCTTAGAACCATTTTAAATATTAAGTAAAAGTTTTAAGTATTTTAAGTAAATAATAAATTAAACTAGTAGTATAGTAGTTTATTCTTAAATTAAAGAAACCAAACTGAAAATTAACAGAAACCCCAGAGAAATAAACTTAGTAACATAACTTGGGTTGCTCTGTTTTTTTTCACGAGTGTTTGAAATATATACTAGATTTACATTTCTAAAAAAAATGTGTTTCGAGCGGAAAATGTTAACTAATTTAGATATTAGTTTAAGTATTTAATACATATTCCTGAGATTTCCATATAAGTTTACCAGTTATTTTTGAACGTCATTAGAAATATACATGTTGTTTCTTTCTCTTTTTCAAATGTTAATCAATTCTCAGATTGAGAATTAGCATTATCTGTCTTTGATTCATATTCTGATAGCAAACCTACTATGTTACATGTAATGTTTTTGGTATATGGCTTACAAATCCACCATATATTCTACTGCTCCTAAACTATTTTTCTGCTTCGGAAAGATATCGAGGCAATTACTTCACCACGCGCTCTGCAGTTAAAGTTTCTGTAGCCAATGTCAAGCACTGGCAAGTGTCTTGGACACCATTGGATTGGAGATGACTTGGCAGGCAACCTCAAGCTAAATGAGCTGCTTGCATTAACAAGAGATCTAGTTATGCGAACTGAAGTCATTCCAGCTTTGACTCAATAACAATATCCGAAAATTGAAGTACGAAAGAGGACCCAAGTAGTTTCGTGGTCTACTTCGAGTAATCCTTCACTTCAGTGGGGCCACTTGTTGGATGGTGTGCTGTTTCAACGTCCCACCATGTATATATATATAAAGTTTCTATTAATAAAAACGGGGTGCTTTATGATATATGTAGAAGGAAGTAAAAGTTGTCTATTACTTCTATAGTTTCCATTATTTTATATATGGAAACTATAAAAACTATAGTACTTTGAATATTCTTTTCACTGCATTCCATCTACACTGCTTTTCATTATTAATTTTTCTAAATCAATGAGTTGCGTTGTTTACTTTTATTTCGATTTTGGTATTTATTTTTCTGTCTTCATTTGTTGTAGCACAACAATAACTCATAAAGTATCCATCACTACTTTTGTGATTATTTACTGAAATACTTGTTTTTAATAAAAGCTGGGAAGACACAAAAATATGCACGCATCCAAATCTAATGTTCTCATTTTGATGCCCTGTAGAGATATCAGTCTTATGGTAGGTTTACTTACAGGTCATTGTAAGCTACGTGCCACTTAACAGCATTTTGAGCTTCGCCAAAGGTTATAAGTGGTTTTAAACCCTGTGTTTTCTTCTATATACGATAATACATTTGACCAATAGTGGATCCCCTAGGGTTCGCCGGTATAACTCAACCTACTGATTATTGTTGTATTAATTAACTAAAGATCGATACAAAGAAAAGTTTAATATGTTAAAGTTGTGAAGACTCGAGCTATTTATACTTTTTTTAAGTGTACGTGTAAGAGTTTTCAGTTTCAATCTATAGGAGCGGTGCTATCGAAACATTTATTTACTAAGTTGGACTTTACAGACATGTGTCATGCTTAGTCACATTTAGTAGCCTCCTTCAACTACTCCGATTAATGGATCGTTTAATCCTTTCATTTTTGATAAGTTATTCTCTGCAAAGGACGTTTCTTACTATCACTTGTGATTATTTGAAGGATGCGCTTTGTATAAACTCACCAAACATTAAATAGTTTTGCTAATTAATGAGTTAAATTATAAAAAATTTTATTGACATAATTTTTCTTAATCCTTCAATAAATTTTGTGAGTTCTTACTGAATTGTAAAATGCATTTTATGTAAAAAAAGTGCACGTAAAATAATTGAAAAATATCTTTTGTGTGCTCGTACATAAGTAAAAAGTTTTGCATTTAACTGCAAGTGATGCTCTAGTAGCTGTTAAGCACTTCTCGGCTCCCTCCGCTAAAAGACAATAAATTTTTTAGATGTTTGTTTAACTACTTCAGAGAATGCCAAGGGATTGCAACAAGCAGTTATGAGAAATTCATCCATTTTGCAACTGCTGCAGGCGCAGATACTTATTTTAATTTCTTCAACTGCCTTCTTGCGTTGCCTTCTATGCGTTTCCTGATTTGTTTGAGTTACATTTTTGGTTGCATTTTTTCTACTCCTTTCTTACATTTTATTTTTTTTTTTTTATTTTATATTTATTTTGCATTCGAAGTTATGAGTTATGCTGCAACTTACACATTTAGCTAGATATTTTTATAATGTTACTTAAAATGCAAATATTTTCTTAAGTCTAAAGGAAAGAAGACATATTTTTGCAGATATTTTTTCAGGACTCCTTGCAGGAGTGTAAATGATTTGCGGCATTTGCCAGGCACGCATAAACTTAATTTATGATTAATACTAGGAAAAGTTTCTTCTAGAAGTTGGCAATCTTCGAGAAGAGAACTGTAACTGTTTTCTTTCACTGCTTTCTTTCTGTGCTCACAAAACTCCACAAAACTAAATAGAAAAAAAATAG